TTATGGTCTTAGAACCATATCCAATATTCAAGTACAACAACACATCACAATGATTCATAGACAACTTAACTATAGAAACTTCAATCAGTCGACATTAAAGGTTCAGCTACAACAAATACAAAATGTAGCAATAACCATCAAATCAATTCTCGAGCACTATGACTATACTTTACTACAAAGTAAATATAATACTTCTACAGCAAAAATGCTACAGCATTGACAACAAATATATATAACTTTTCACAACAACTACAACAATAAATAGCCAAAATCATTGGACGAAGAAGGAACATCAATCAATATGCTACTCAAAAACTTCACAAAACTAAATAGTTTAAAGACCAAGCTAAATAAATTAAATATAAAGTATATAGAACAGTGCACATCTTACAACAATTCCAAGTTGATAGAATAGAAATACCTACTACATATGATAAATTAAATACCTAGAGGCAAAGAACCTAAATAGTACAAGGTATTAAGAGAAGAGATAACACCAAAATATACAATACCGAACAACAAACTAATAAAACCCAACCTTTAGATAAACAATAAAACATTATGCAGTAAAACAAACTAGGCAATCGAAATATCAACGAACAAAAACTTTATAAGCAAAATATCATCTGTGAAATCACAACAAGCAACATTAAATTACTGGATCTTCAAAGATAGTACAAACCAATTGAAACTCTGTCAAGAATGTTACCAAAATAACCCAATGCTAAGTAAGATAAAATGCACAAAACAAATAGATATAGTATGTCTTCAGTACATAAAAGTAGATAGCAAAAAGAGAATAAGAATTAACTCGCTAGACATAAAACAACTGCAGCTAACACTAAGACAGAATAAAGAAAGAATCTCACAACTATCAAATACAGCAACAAAAATAGCAAAAAATGAGAATACTAATAACATAATAGAAAAGATAAAATATGAGTTCCGAAGCCTAAAAGAGATCACCTTCTACCTATTCCCCTATCAACAAGCAACAGATAGTACTCAACAAGAAGTCATAATATGCCAAGCAGCATCTACTAACTGTCAGATGCACAAGAATAGCCAACTATCATGAAAAATCTAATAACTGCTCTTATATATACAACTTTAATAATATTCAAAAAAGCCAAAGTTAAAATTGTGATGAACAAAGACTACTTTAATATGCAGACAGACAAAGTTCAAACAGTCTTGCCTTATATCATATACAAAATATATAATACAACAAACTGGCCGAGCTGGCTATCTTGGAAAGCACTTACAACAAAAAATAAAAATAAATATACTTTTGAATACAACAGCAATATATCTGCTGCAATCAAACAAAATAGATACAAACTTAGTGGAGAAATTAATCATATAGGAATACAATATGACATACAACAATTTGCATGGTACTACACTCCTATTGAACATAATACTCGATGCTTTATATGATATATTCACAACATATCACACATAGCACACTAGTAATCACAATCAAGATTCCAATGCTAGAACCCTATAAAACAAAATATAGAGTACTACACTCCTATTGAACATAATACTCGGTGCTTTATATGATATATTCACAACACATCACACATAGCACACTGGTAATCACAATCAAGATTCCAATGCTAGAACCCTATAAAACAAAATACAGATTGGCAAGTATTCTATAGTTAAGTTGTCTATGAATCATTGTGATGTGTTGTTGTACTTGAATATTGGATATGGTTCTAAGACCATAA